CCTATAGCAAAAAACCTCTCAAAAAAAAAAAAAAAAAAAAGAAAGAAAGAAAAGGAAAGAAACTTAAAATATGCCTCAGAAAAAAAGAAATCAAGCCAGGTGTGATGGCGTGTGCCTATAATCCCAGCTACTTGGGAAACTGAGGCAGGAGGATCATGATTTTGAGTCCAACCTGAGCAACATAGCGAGACTCTTGTTTCTTAAAAGCAAAAATAAGGGGCCAGCAGGTGGCAGGTTGGTTGAAGAAGCTGAACTCCCACATGGCTGACTGTGGTTCAAGTCTCAAGTCTGGCTGCTTGCTTTTTCCCTTTCTCTCTCTCTCCCCCTCTGTCTCTCTCTCTTACACACATACACACACACACACATACTCACTCACCCTCTTCCTCTCTGGGCAAATTAAAATAAATAAATAAACTTAAATACTTTTTTCAAAAAAAAGAACAAAAAGTAAATCTTTTAATATGTGACAACATGGATGATCCCGAGGACCTTATGCTAAGTAAACAGTGACATAGGACAAATACAACACTGTGTGATTACACTTAAATGAGGTATCTAAGAGGGGGGCTTACAGAAGCAGAGAGTAGAATGCTGGTTGCCAGGGATTGTGGGTCGGGGGTAATCGGGATCTGCTGTTCAGCAAGTGTAGTTTCAATTATGCATGGAGAACACATTCCACCATACAGTGTGCCTGCGGTTAACAATGCTCTGTTGTACACTTAAACTTCTGTTAAAAAGATATATCTCACATTACATGTCTTACCACTGCTTTTTGAAGAAATGACTTAGGAGCTAAAACCTTAACAAACAAACAAAAGACAAATATCAGAACTTAAAATGATTTTCTTTGTTTATTTATTTACCTGCTTATTTCTCCCTCTTCCATATACTTGGTCAGCCAGTGAATGTTAGGGGGGTATGGGGGCAGGAGAGGCTCTGGAAAGGGACCGGCTCAGTGATTCCACCTGAAAGGAGGCTAGCAGCAGGCTCAACCTAAAGCTGTGGATGGGGTAATAGTACCTGCCTGAAGTATGAGAATGCTTAAAGTGCTCAGAAGACATTAACTATTATTTTTGGATAATCATCTCCCAAACTTCCTTTTTTAGAAACTGATTCAGCAGCACAGAAAGAACATCGAAACCAGACACCTGCTCCATCTGCAACTCAAACTTCCGCTCCCTCTAAGTACCACCGATCTCGATCTGGGGGAGCCAGGGATGAACGATACCGGTCAGGTGAGAAGGAACTATGAAATTTCCAGCTGATCAGCTTTTACTGAGTAGTATGAACTGTGTCCCAAGAACTTCTAATGTTTGCTTTAATTTTTTCCCTTTAGGCATAATAGTTCTATGTTAATTCATCCATCAATTGTTTACTTAGTACCTACTTTTTCAGGGTGTAGTAGATATTTAAGAGTTGCTGGAGATAAAGCAGCATAAAGACCATTTCTGCCCTCAAGGAATCTCACAGTTTAAGAGGAGAGCTAGGGCCAGCCCTGTGGTCTAGTGGTAAAGGGAGTTGGATCCCATGAGGCTGACTTCATGGTTCATATACTGGCCCTGACAGCTTGAAAAACATGCTAGACTCATTTGTGTGTGTCTAAAATCCCAACCTGATGGAGAAATAGAGGAAATGGGATTGCATGACCATGGCCCTTTGGGGGTTACTTTCTTCCTTTCTCTCTCTTTCTGGCAAGTGCAAGTATCTTCTGGCTAATTTTTTTTTTTCCCTCCTATAGTGGGAAATCACCCTCTGTGAGGGATGGTCACGCCGCAATCCCTTCTCCATTCTCTCCATGGGACTCTGGGCATCATGCACACGTGCCATTATGAATTTCAAGCTGCTCTCTCCAGGCCTGGAACCATAGTTGCCCATGTGAGAGTCCAGTGCCTCAACCACTATGCCACTTGCAGACACTCCCCACTCCCCAACTGTGCTAATATAAAAAAAGAAGGAAAAAAAAGGAGGGGAGCTAAATAAGCACAAAAGCAATGCAAATGAGTATGTAAATAAGAGCTGGTTGGGGTAGGTCACATGAGATGGTACTAGGAGAGGTCAGTGGGCTCTTTTGCAAGAAGCAGGACCTTTTCTGTTTGCCAGAGCTGTTGATATTTTTTTTTTTTTTGGAGAAGTTTTTGCTATAGGGCGCGTGTGCTTGCCAGACAGAGAGAGACATAGAGACAGAAAGCGAGAAATCACCCCCCAGGGGGGATGGTCACGC